TCAGCAGCTATGACGTGCTGCTGCAGTAACGTGCTGCTGACGGCTCCCGTGGAAAGAAGGGGTTGGTATATATTGCAGCCTGTTGGCTAAGAAATAATGATAAAAGTTGGGTAGATCCAGCCCTCCTCTATCCTTGGTATTCAGAAGCGTTTTTTAAGCTAATTCGTGAAGGTTTATCCCGCCAAAGAAATTTTTTGATGGAGGAGTCCAGAGATCTAAATCAGTCAGGAGGTGGCTTGCTTGGGATCATTGAAAATAAGTACCGGGCAATTGATTCTTGGTAAAACCATCATTTTAATTGTGGCAACCCTCCCCATGAGTGACATTGGTAGGGACTTCTATCTGGCAAGATCATCTTCCACTTTCTTTAAAAGTGGGATGTAGTTAAGTTTTGTCAAAGCTGCCAGCCTGGAAGAGACATGAATGCCCAAGTATGTAATATTCCTCAACTCCAGTTGTGCATTATTAGGGGAATTGAGTGTTGATTGATTACATAAGCTGATTGGGATAAAGGTGGATTTTAACCAGGTGCATACACTATGGAGTTGCTCTACCGAGTTTTTCTTGGTAAAAACGCCCAGAATAAATATTAGTTGTGGGTTAGCATGTCGCTAATGCCCCGCTGACCTCCCAACATAGAACATGAGCTGAAGTAAAAGGCCACAGCGCCCAGCTATGATCGCAGCAGTCTGAGTCTCTGCTCATAACTTAACAGTCCCAGTCCGTATTAGATCTCCCATGGGCGTAGCAAGCTTTTGTGAAGTGTGGGTGTTGAAATTTCTCATATAAAAATGTATATTTATATATATATATGAATGTATGTAAGTATGTATACAGCTCTTATTCCACCACAAGGTGTGAACCAGCACCAAAGGGCAGATATGAAAAAGATGAGTATTAAACTACTCTGGAAGTCCATTGCATGCCCCCACCCCCTCCTCGCTAGAAATTTTTGGACATTTTATATTTAAAAGCATCAGACTCGGGTGCATTTTGAGAAAAAAAAAAGTTACAGGCTGGTGAGAATATATGTATTATATTTGATTGACTGTATATCCTGTCCTGTCTTTAATCCATTATGAACACCAACTACAGCGAAATCCTCTGATGCATCCATGCTGCTCAGTACCAGAACTGCACAGATGTCACTTGTTACTAAAAGAACCAATCAGCTGGCAGAACTCGATGTTGAACGTGTGAGCGTGCAGAACTTACAAAACTATGTGACTCAATTTAAGGAACAAGGTGGAATCCAGCTGCTGTTATTTATTTGTTGTTGTTGTTTATAGAAACTAAATCCATCTGCAGAGTTTTAGACCTCAGACCAAACCACATCCAGACTTGTTATTAATAATATTGTGTATTATTTACACCAATCAGAATATTCTGTAATATTAACAGACATCCAAACCTTAGAAATGAAATAAAATCAACATTAAAATTAAAAATCATTGACATTGTATCTTCATCAAAAGATCAGTTATCTGTGCACACCTTTATACTTGATATTGTCCAGTTGAAGCAGACATCTGCTTATTTCTAACAGAGCTGAGCTGTGGGAGAAAATATTCAGGCTTTTTTTATCTTTTCCATCACCTGTGTGTTCAGTGCATACACTTAATATTAATTATAAAATTATAAATAACAGGTCGCTACAGTCTGGGCACAGGACGTGTTTCTAGGAGCTAAAGCTTGTTGGGTTAGGGTTGGCAGCAGCTCACCTGTTCCTAACAGGAGAACGCCTCTCATCAGCAGCAGGTGATCAACAGAGTAACATCGGCCTGAAAAAAAAAAAACCCAAAACAAAAACAAAAAACACCGAACTCAAATAGGGCCACCGGGAATTTCCCCGGCTGGGTCCTGGTAGGACTGCTCAATTAATTGAATTTTAATCCCAATTACGATCTGAGTTTTGAACGATTATAAAAACAAAACAAGCCGATTGTTTTGCTCCTCCCACTTGCGCTGCCCTGAGTTGCAAATGAAGCGCTCCTCCCTGGTGTTGCCAGCTTAGCGACTTTGACGCTATTTCTAACAGCTTTTCAGACCCCCTTCTGACTTTTTAAATTCTAGCTGTGGTTGGGACAATTATTACATTAACTTATGGACTTGTAAATAAATAGTTTATAAATAAGGTAGAAATAGATAGAAATAAGTTCTGATAACTACTAACTAATCTCTCTGAGGACACGGTGCTAGTGCACGCTCCTACAGCACCTTGATAATGTTATGCAAAATTTTGTGAACATCAATTTATTTGCATTTATTTGTTTTAAATGCCACTGTATAATTCTTGCTGTCATTATTTGCAAGATATTTGTATTTGGGTCTGTACTGGTTAGACTTAAATGAGTTAAACCAAGGTCTATAGCCCTTGGGTCATAGACTATGAGCTAAAAGTATATCGGTCTTTTTATACTGGGAATCAGGGGTTATTTTAGGTATCATATTGTTTCTTATTTATTTTTGTCCTGATTGTGCCCTGAGCAATTTTATGACAGAATAAAAACAAATAAAATCAACATTATTTGAAAAATCTTCTTAAATAATCGAGATCTCAATTTCAGTCACAATAATCGTGATTATTATTTTTGCCATAATCGAGCAGCCCTAGGTCCTGGTTTCGCCCGCCGTCCCCGTGAAGCTGTTCATCACGTTAACTCTCACTGTGACGCCAAATCTTGGCTCCGTTGGAGCTCATTAGAGCAACACTTTTAATAAAAAAAAAAAACACAACTTAGATCTGTGACTCGTATTAAACCAAAACCAGATCGCACCGTGGGAGCAAGCTTGCATTGAGCGCGCACGTTTGTATTATGTGGGCGGTGCGGAAAGGTGGAGAAATGCATTTCAACCAAGCCCCCACAATGCGGGTGAAAATTTGAAGCAAACGCGGAAATGAAATAAATTGCAGTTCCACCCTCATCCGCTGGGGGCTGGTGTCAGAAGCGAGCAAATCCTCATTGACTCCCATGTTAAAAATACCAATTTCACAGCAGAAATAAACATGTTTACAGCCTGGTACCACAACATGTTTTTTGTTTAAATGATCTAGTTTACACCCATTTCAACTCTGAGGGGGGTGAATTTTTTCTCACTCTTCTGTTTAAGTGTAGTAAAAGCCTAAAATTCTGTATAATTAATGAGCATCAGACCCACGTGACCACAGAGCTAGATCCATGGAAAGGCCTCCGTAGAGCCTCCGTCTGGCCTGGAAACTGTTCCGGGATTTTGAGTCTCTGTGTTTGTGTATCCTGTTTTGGATATTATTTGTGCAATTGTTGGACAAAATGACTTGCTGTGGCATTAATTGCACTAATAGAGCGTCCAAGGAGTCTCCACTTCATTTTTTTCGGTAAGTAAAATTATATTTATGTATTTTAGGTCACTGCCGAGCTGAGCTTAGATTTTAACATGTACTGTTTAACCATGAAATGTAAATGTAATAGGGTAAAACCCAGTGCATTTAACATGATTCTGCACTTTAGAAAATGGGTTGAAATATAACATGTTGGTGGTTCTGGGTTCCGACTATGGGCTTGTGGAGCTCTCGGGAGACCGATGTTTTCCACCCGTTTCTCCCCTGGCTTCGCGGCTTCTGTTTGCTGCGCGGAATGCCGGCTGTTTCTCCCTGCAGCTCGGCTCATTTCTGTCTGATCGCAGCTTCTGTTTGATGCGCCGGGCTGCCGGCTGGGCCTCCCTGCAGCTCGGCGCATCTCTGTCTGATCGCGGCTTCTGTTTGATGCGCCGGGCTGCCGGCTTGTGGAGATCTGGGATGGAAACCTTTCCACCCGGTTCTCCCCAGCGGCAGCCCTGCGCATCTCAGATCGCAGCAACGCTTGTCTGCTGTGCGGCTGCCAGCTTGTGGAGCTCTCGGGAGACCTCTGTGTTCCACCCGGTTTTACCCAGCAGTCAGCTCGGCGTATCTCTGACTCAGAAGCTCTGGTGTTGTGCACAGTTAACTCCGGTTGTAGCTAGGTTGCTACCTCCGTTAGCTTAGCTCCCACCTCCACGTTAGCTTTGGGTTAGCTTCAGGTTAGCTTGTAGTTAGTTTGACCGGGTGTCTTACAGCCCCACCCTCAGCTCCACCTCTTTCCCCTTTTGCGGAATTGTCTGGGCTTGACGGAACCTGTGACACGGTCAAAATGGCGGTGGTGGCCACCTCCCATTTTTCTTCAAAAACGTGTTATTGTAGTCTATGGAAACCCATTGTCCAATATTTATATGTCGATGGTTTCAACAGCGGAACCGACTGAAATACTGACGTAACAACCGGCGCGCAATGGTGTGGGCTTCAATTAGCAACAGCAGAGGGAGGGGGAGAGGGAGAGGGAAAACACTGTGAGAGAAACAGAGGGACCGGGCTGATATTAACGCTTGTGAGCTAAACTGTGGGAAAGGTGTGGGTGTTGAAACACCCACGTCCCCCACAGGAGCGATGCCCATGTCCACAGGCGACCAGCATGACCACAGCCTTGCAAGGAAGTCAGCCAGCTGTGTGGGTGGGTTTCCAACAGTGCGCCCCAGGACAGCTGTGGCTGCAGTGTAGCTCGTCACCACCAGCGTGTGAATGTGTGTGCACTGGGTGGTTGACTGGATGTTTTGTGAAGTGCCTTGGGGGGTAGTAGGGCCATAGAAGGTGCTACATAGATACAGGCCAATTACCATTTTTCTCCTCTTCCTGTGGTGTCCCACAGGGATGTTGTTGCTTTATGCTGCATTTGCTTCATTTGGGTCTGCTTTACTTTGGGTTTATCACTTTTTGTTTAAATTAGTGTTTGTACAGCGAGATCGGTGTTCTTTACACGTTACTCTGATGGTTGCTTGTCTTTAGTTCTGTGATGACTATCTTCAAGTTCTTTATAATGAAGAAGGTTGAATTGGATCACATGAATGGTAATTGCAGCTATTCAAAATTGTTGTTTTTCATAGCATTTGCTCTTTTGTGAATAATGGTTGCCTTCAATATGAAGCCAAACAAACAGAAACTGAGGCCTGGGACCAATTTACGAGAAAGTTTTATTGATGTGTTATCAATACAATCAAGTACTGCAGATTTTGTTTAAGCAGACAAACATTTTCAATCAAGGGAAGTGCATTTATACCAAATTTCTATTGCAGAGAGTGCAAGCAATAGTATGACAAAAATACATTATAATATAGTACTGAACATGACACAAATCGGTTCACAAACAATCCCTCACAAACAAATCTAGAATGCTAAGTGTTAAATGCTAATAACTCGTCAATGCTATTAAATACCATTTATATATTCTAGGCTTCGGTGGTCAGTTTTGGCATCCTATTAAATTATCAATAATGTATAAATACATCTTTCATTATTTCATGTGCAAATGGGAATGACCGTTTGTGTTTACTGAAGTTATAACAAACAAATATCCCTTAAGAACCGAAGCAAGACAGTTGGGATTTATTTTTCTTTTTTGTACTTTTCTATTTTAATAGAGAAAAAAATAACAGGTTGAATAAATGTTCTGTGACTGAGACGGATTTTACTGACACTCGTTGAATGATTTGTACACAAATCAGCAAGCAAGCATTGTCTATGAAAAATAAGAACAGATAGTAATAATGACACGTGTTCCATTAGAAAAATAAAATCGACCAACAAAAGTCAAGAAAAACCTACAGTACATAACAAGTCTTGGTCTGGATTACAGAATCACATAATGGTACATTGGTGTGGTGTGTTTGTGGTATGACAAGTGAATGGTAGGAATAAGTGCATTACATAGATTAAAAAATACAGATTAGGCACAACGCTTGCCGTGTTTATCTAGATCAACTTTGAAAATAATGGGCCTGTTGGCACAAGACTGGGGATGGTTAACAGAAACGGTCAGAAGAATCAGCACCAAACATTGTACATTCTTGCAAAAATCAACATTTGGCACTATCCTGCAGCATGCTGACATGCCTGCATCTTAGCATAAGGTGGGTGTATTTCAGTGTATTGAGTGTTTGGGTTTATAACAGAGAAAATCTGTTGGAGTTGAGACAAGTACAAATACAGAAAGTCACAGAAACAGGAATTTCTTCCTATTAAATATCAACAGTTTTGTCTTCTAACTTTCACTACCGCTCATTAGTTTGGGATCCCTTGGAAATTCTTTCTAACTAAAGAATGAGCAACATTTCAAATGAAACTGAATGAAGTCCTTTAATTAACAACTGCCTGTCCTCTGGATTGGAGGAAGACTTCATCAGACCAACCCTTGTAGCAGAAAATGCTCCAGGATGATCTGATGAGGTGACATCTCATCAGATTAATTAAAGTTTGAAGTAAACATTCGGCATTTCACCTAAAATCTCGATTTAGCACTCTGGTGATGTCTGCATGAGCAGTTCGTTTGCTAATCAGACTAATTTCATGATAGTTTCCATGGTTTCCAATGTAATCCCAGACTTTTGTGTGGTAGTGTGATGGATAACATCATCCTATTTATTCCATCATTACAAAAAAACATCAGTGTTGACCAGAAAAGCATTGTTTAAATTATGATCAGATTTTTGTTTCCTATGTCACAATCATCACGTTTCAGTAGATATTTCTCTTGTGTTTTAAGCTTTTTAAAAATCATTTAATTGTTACTCGTGTGAGATTTGCCTTGAGACCCGAAGGGGGCCGAGATATTTAAACGTCCAGGTCCTCGGGTTTTTGTAAAGAACATTGACAGGATCATACGCCTTTCAAAGCAGTTCCATTCAAGTTTATGATGATCTTTGCTGGTATATTCATGACCTGACTTGTGAGGGGACAACATGACCGTAAAAGCAAAACAAACACTTGTACATTTATTGACAGGGAAACAGTTAGACGGGTACTAGAACATACACACGAGTCTTTAATGCTTCATCCAACAGATACGAGTAAACACCAGCCTCCTCCGTTTGACCTTCTACCTGTTCCGGATGGTCCGACAGTTTGTTAAATGTTACACAACCAGTATGTCACAACCAGCGAGTCCCTTCGCTTACTCGTAAACTGATTCTCATTTACGGTTGTGTGTGCTCAGATATTATACGGTCCTGAAACACCTGTTTCTCCTAGGCTAAAGACATAATTCAGCTTTTTTTTCACAGATGAGTTTGGACATAATCTAAGTTGTTTCCACTTTCCCAGCGACCCTCTAAAGAACGAGAAATCAAATGAAAGAAATAGATGAAATTGGGTTGATCCATTTATATTAAATTGTCTTCACAGATTTGGTTCTTTATGATTACTAAGAGCAGTTTTTATTCTGGTTGTTTGGATTGGACCATAATCCAGATGTATTAATGGGTAGATTACATTAACTATGTCATGGTTGGGGCAGGTGGAGAGGAGGCATGGGGGATGTGACGTGCTGTACACATGGAAAAAGTAAGGTCAGTAGGAAACAGGAAATTGGCTGTTGATCCAACAGAAAACAGACCTCACTTTTCCACTTACTTCTGCTTTCAAAATTTATTCTATGGTCTGTAAACACAGACACTATTTCTGCATTACTCTTTTATATTAGAGTCATGTTTCATTTGGGGTTATATTTAATGGACTATGATAGAGCACAGTGAATTTTCCTTGTTTTTAATGGATGGGTTGAAAATTAAATGAAAAGATAAACACTCAATGGTGCAAATCTCATTTTGTGCAAAAATGTAAATCTTTCTGTGAGATTGCCCAATCAAAACCCCAAATTTACCAAACGGTGGTGCTTTAAGTGAATCAAAATAAAGGATGAGATGAAATAAATGATATTAATAGTATTACATGACCAAAGAGCCTTGTTGTTATCAAATCATTTGTATGAAGTGTTGGTCTTCATGCAAGTATCACTGTTAAAGGTTTAAATAACACATAGAGATGTGACTGCAGCCAGGGAACCAACACTCTTTGAGGTTTGGTGTTGTCAACCTCCCTGTCTGAGCATGTGGACAGGCTTTGCAGTCACACGGGAAGCTCTTTACAAAGTAAAGCACTTAAAAGTCAGAATCAGCAAAAACAACAGCAACGACATGGATCAAAAAATAACAACAACATGTGACAATAAAATATTCTAATATTATAAGCTAAAAAAAACAACAAAAACATTACCCCGAAACACATTTGAAGGACATTAAAATAAGAAACACAGCATAACAAACCATACCCTGCCTTTTAAACCTTCCATCTCTTATTGACCAAGTACTAGCATTGTTGAGTTTGAGACAGATATGATGTTGGCAGTGATAACAACATATTATCAGTTTTGTGTTGCTGTTATTGCTGTAGCTATCTTAGGTTTAGGGCTGTTTTGAGGCACTATTACAGGAATATTTTAAAGAAAAGGACAAGGTTATGTGGGACAGAGGAGGAAACCTGAAAATGAGGAGTGGATGTATTCGGTAGAATAAAGGCCATTTGCTTGATCTGAGGGCATCTGGACAAATACCTCATCACCTTCCTTGAGCTCAAGCACAGCACTACCAGATGCTTGGTCCATATAACCTTTCTTGTATTCATCGTAGGTATAAGTGGCTGGAACATTGTTCCTATACAGAGCCACCCACAAGCTTGTTCCCTTTACATGCATGTGGTACGAGAAGTAGTAGACACCAGACAGAGGAGCTGTAAAGATGCCTGTAGATGTACTGTAGGCATTTTGTCCATTATACAGGGTCCTGTCAAATTTGACTGGCATGCCGGAGGGGGGGAATGGTGTTGTAAGAATGGCTGTAAAGGCTGGTGCTAGAGATGCAGACAATGCAACTTGTGTGAATGCCGGTTTTATACCTGGGATTTCCTCTCCACCCAACCCTGTATCGGTTGGCCCAGCAACAACAGTCTGACCATTTCCTGGAGGGCCAGGAGGTCCTGGAGGACCAGGTAGGCCAGGATGACCATTAAGCCCAGCAGGACCTGGTTTACCCGGTGGACCCTGGGGACCCATTCCACCCTTGTCACCCAACTTGCCTTGTCCTGGAGGCCCCGGGAGTCCGGGTTCACCCCTTTGTCCAGGGACACCCTGTGGGCCCATGGGACCCATAGGCCCCTGGAGACCAGGAATGCCTGACTGACCCCTAGGACCTGGTGTCCCCATAAAGCCTGCCTCTCCTTTAGGACCTGGAGCCCCCATCAGTCCTGGATTCCCAGTCTGGCCAATTTGTCCTGACTCACCTTTGGGTCCAGGTTTTCCAATGGGGCCAATTGGTCCTGGCATGCCTTTTTCACCTGAGATCCCAGGATTTCCAGGGATACCACCAAGGCCTTGATCACCTTTAAGTCCAGGTATTCCTGGGGGGCCCTGGGGTCCTAGTTCTCCCTTCTGGCCAGGCATTCCATGGTTACCTGGAAGCCCCTTTGGACCTTGAATGCCTGGTGGTCCTGGAAGTCCGTCAAGACCTTGCTGCCCACTTGGGCCAGTGATTCCAATCTCCCCTTTGTCCCCAGGGAGACCAGGAAATCCATTTTGACCTTTTTCACCTTTCGGCCCACTCAGACCAGGTTTTCCATAGCCGGCTGGCCCAGGGTTTCCAGGATTTCCCCGGGATCCTGGTTCACCTTTTGGACCTACTGGACCTTGTTCCCCTGGAAGTCCATCCAGACCAGGTTTCCCTAATCCAACAGCCCCTGGCAAACCTTGAAGACCTGTTGGACCAGGAGCTCCTGGTTCTCCATGATCCCCTGGAAGTCCTTGATCACCTTTAGTTCCAGGTAGTCCAGGCAAACCTTTAGGTCCTGGTTTGCCAATCCCTGGTAAACCAGCTGGCCCTGTACTACCTTTCAGACCTGGAGGGCCCCTTATACCTGGAGGTCCTGGTTTTCCATTTCCACTCTCACCCTTAATTCCACGTTCTCCTGGATTTCCAGGAATACCTGTTATTCCTGGTTCCCCGCGAGACCCAGCAGGACCTCTGATACCTGGGAGTCCAGGCTTTCCATTCAGAGACAAACCAGCTGGTCCAGGAACCCCAGGCTGCCCAGGAGGTCCACGTGGACCTGGTTCACCACGTGGCCCACCCTCACCATTAAGTCCTGGATTCCCTTTTGGTCCAATCTTTCCTGGGAGACCTGGAAGTCCAGGCTTGCCAATGCCTGTTAAACCAGGAGGACCCTGAGGGCCGGGCTGTCCATTAAGACCCGGCTTGCCCATTCCAGGTTTTCCCGGAAGTCCTGACGGTCCTGGGGGACCTCTTGGTCCAGGTTTGCCTTGAGGGCCTGGTTCCCCCTTCATCATGGGCGGCATATCTGGAAAAAGGACCAAGAACAAAAAAAAGAAGAAAATGTAAATATTTTACTTCCAATGATTGATGGTTGAAAATAAAACGTACATTTATAAATATCCTGCAGTAACTCCACAACATTTTCTCTGAATTGCTGTCATACATGTGTAAGGAAATTTGAAATTAGCTTTTGTCTCCAAAAACAGTACTCTCAACACTTTTGTTTATTTGGGGCAACGGTGGCATAGGAGTTAAGGTTCGAGCCCCGCTCAATCTGTTGCTGTTGTTGTGTCCTTGAGCAAGACACTTAACCCACCTTGCCTGCTGGTGGTGTTTGGAGGGACTGGTGGCGCCTGTGTACGGCAGACTCGCCTATGCCAGCGTGCCCCAAGGCAGCTGTAGCTACAAAGTAGCTCACCAGGGTGTAAATGTGCGTGTGAATGGGTAAATGACTGATTGCGTTGTTGAGCACCTTGGGGGGTTCCAGGAAACTAGAAGGCAATATATCAAATACAGGCCATTTACCTTTTTTCTGTTCATTTTGACTTGTAGTCACTTAAGAGGACATTTGAAACACAACATACAATGAAAATGTAAAACGCTGTAAAACATGGACAACACAGAAGGGCCTTGCCATTTGAAATCTAAAAGTGACAACAACAGCAAAGGCATATATAAAGTGTCAAAACATTTCCTTAGTAAATTTGTAGACACCTCTATCTACAGAATCTCTGCCGGAAAAATGTGTGTCTCTAGGACACACTATTTTGGAACAAGATGCCTGGAAAATACCATAGGTTGCATTGTAGAGGCTGAAAAGAATTGAAATATACCAATGTGAGAAGAAATACCTTAAGATTTGTGAAAAATAAAGCTTAAAGGTGGGCTTCACTTGTGTAATTAATACATTTGCAGCGGCCTCTAGTAGGAATGAATTTCTTGTAAGTCATACTCTCGGTACATAAAACCCTGATGCACCTGTTTCAGGATCGAAAAGATTGCCCGATGAAAGGAGAGCTTCAGACGACAGCATTTGGAGTCTTACTTCCTGATATTTGAAGCATCTCTCCTCTGATTGGCTAACAGCAGCACGACTACCACTGACTCTGTTTGCTTTGCAACATTGATGTTTTATCTCCACAAGTAACACAAACCTGAGGAGTTCTGCTGTGTGGTGGAGTTGCTAATGCTCACAGTTAGCTTCTATTAGCTGAGACATTTTCTGCTGTTTCCTGGATGCTAAACCAACAACATCCTTCCCCGTCGTGAGTCATGATGGGTGAGTCCATGAACGTTAAGTGCAGGAGATTGGTGTAGGAGACTGTTTTCATGTTCAGCCTGCATAAAACCTCAGAGTGACCCATTAGAATCTGAATAAATTTTTTAAAATGTTTTTGGTGAACTACACCTTTAAAGGGACTTTACAGAGTTTTGAATTTTTATGTTCGCGATTGCCCCCTCAGGCCAAAAGCGTAACGGCAGCTTCAATAGTAGGCTCGTGCACAAGGCACGCATGCTGTACGTGCACACTCCTTAATGAAAATAACAGCTGAGACAGTCCCGTGTGTGTGTGTGTGTGTGTGTGTGTGTGTGTGTGTGTGTGTGTGTGTGTGTGGCCCGGAGGACAGAGGACAGGAGAATGCGCAGCCAGTGCAGCAGTTGAACCCACATCTTTTTTATCTGTGAATTCAATGCCGTTCGGCGAGACTCAAATAAAAATTTGGGCATCTTACTGTAAAAAAATATACCATTAATGTAATAAAGAAACTCTAAATAAACTGTGATCACATCCAGAATCGAACTCAGGTCTCCTGCACAAGAGTCCAATATCTAACAAGGTGAGCTAAAGCCCAGTGACATCTTTGATATCTGTAATATTTATATTCTTGATTACAGCTAAAACAACATTCAAAGAATGGTTTGGAGTGAAAATGGCTATTTTGTTTCTAATTTGCAGGAAATATCTAGAAGAAAGTAGCTAAGGGTCCTCAGAAATGTAGCTAGGTTCATAGGCGTTAGGAACAGCGACAAAGTCGCTGAGTTGGCACTACCTCACTCTCTGCTGCTAAAGCTACTGATAGCAAATGCTACAGGCTAAGCCTGAGCGTGAACGCACATGAAGCAGCCTGCTCGACCCGAGCAGCTCTCTTTTTCTGTGATTTCACAGAAAAACAGGCAATCACAGTAAAAATGCCAGGGCTCGTTCTACAGGACCAGGGCATTGCAGGAGAATGTATGAAGAAGACATTTATTATTTCTATACATGTTTTGGCTGTCAAACTTCCATAATGCCCCTTTAAATACTTCAGTCACTATTTGACATCATAAGCTTTGGTTTAAATTGGAAGGGAAATCCAAGCTGGTTTGTAAATTTAGTTTTGTAATAATTTCACCTAAATCCAAAACACAAACAAATGATTTGATGCTCGACATTCAAACTGAGTGATCTGTCAATCTCTTTGACTACAATTCCTGCAAAGGCTCTCGTTTAGCCATAGCCCGTTACTGCCATCTAGTGGTCCCTCATGAAAATGTAGTTTTCTGAGGTCTATTGATTACCATTAAACATTTAGCACACAACTGTCAGTGTTATGGAAAAGCGTGTGGTGCGACAAGGATGTTTGCTTCCTGCTTTAGTTTTTTTTTTGTCTCTGATCCGTTTACACCTAACCTTAGTGTACAAGAAGATGCTTTTCAGATGTTTTATTCATCTATTTATTTTTCAGAATGAGCTAATTGTTGCAAACATTATTTTTTATGTTTATGAAGTTTTCTTTAGATTCTCAATTTATAAGTGAAATAAAAAATGTATTCGTATTGCATGTGTTATTTATCATTATGTGACATCGTTCAGAAGAGAAATTGACTTCAACAATAGGAGTTTCATTGGTGAGTATCACAGCTTTTCAGATGTTTATATATTAAGACCTATTTATTTTCCAATGGGTGGGTTATTTTGTAACGTGGAGCTGTCACCACCGGGTGGCAGTAAAATCCTTGTATCCAATGAGCTGCTTCAGTTATCTGAACAACTTCAGCCTCCTTTGAGTGTCCATAAAGTAAAAATGAAAAATTCTCCAGACATTATATTTCTACAGCAGAATAAGTATCAGAATTACCTTCACTGAGCTTTTGTGTGTAAAACATTTGTCACCTGATCATGAGCTTATTTTGACAGTGATGACCGTCATCACACACATTTTGTTAAAACAATGCCCCTCTGCTTCTACCTGTTTGCCTGAATCTTTATTTTTTTTAAATAAATGTAATTTTTTATTCCAAACACTCTCTCTTGGAAAATAAGTGATAAAACAGTGAGGTAACAGCATCCAGATGGTGTGAGGAGCATCTAGCCTTCAGCTGCCCTATCAGGCTTCTTTCAGCCCCGGCTGTGGATGTCAGATGTTGGATTTCAAGAGACATGGGTTCAAAATGTAGGTGTTTAGGTGTAAGAAGACAGTGTTTTCACAAAGGAGTCTGTGAATCTATTAACTTAAAGAATGGCTAATTTATGAATTTTCCCTTTTCACTCACCAACATAATGTCCCTTGCCCTCTCTGAAGGGTGGTCCAACAGGTCCTTTCATCATTGGCTGCATGTACTTCATGTGGGTTATGGGAGGATAGCCTCCCCCAAGAGCTCGCCCTCCAAGCATCAGCAGCACACAGACAGGAGCCAACAGCATGGTCACCAGCATCCCAGACTTCTCACACAAAGAACTGCAAGTGAGAGAAGAGGAAGTTGTGATATAATTATTATTTAGTTTTTATTATGGAGGAAGGCTTCAGCCATGTATCATTATGAACAATCACTATTTTACTATTTCACAGCTTTCTGAATGACCTTCGTTTGGAAAACAGAGTTTTTGTTAACCTGATTGATAAGTTAATGATAATAGTTGCCATCATAAAGTAGCTCCGTTGCACAGTGGTTAATGCAAAAGTATGAACCTTTACCTCGCTATCACCTTCACTTTACATGCTCAATTTGACAGATGCTTTACTAAATGGCTCCCTGACTTGACCTCTGGATGCACCGGAAGTGAGTCAGCACTGGTTTAAGCTGAGATCGTTCTGAATGAACTCTGACTTACTCAACAGAAGCTGCTGTTTACATTGCATGGATATTAGCTGCAGAGCTTGCTACTACTAGCTGCAATTCCATAACCATTTTGCGAGAAAAACAATGAAATGTGAAATTTGCAGCTATGTAACTAAAAAAAAAAACTACAATGACTTTTTGCTTGTTAAATGGTTTTATGTGACTTTGTAATCAGCCTCATTATGATGACCAGTTTGTTGCTGGCCAGTTGATAAAATCCCATTAGTCATCACACACTGGGGAAATGACATCTCCACATGTGACCCATCCTCGTGGGGAGACCCCACCCCCAGTGCCAGGGTGGACACTCTACCACTAGGCCACTGAGGTGATATTTTTGTTCAGCAGAACCCAACTTATCAGAATATAAACTATAACTTTGTGTTGCAGCGGTTAATGAGAAGAAATAGAAACCATTTTAAATTGGTCAAAACCATTCAATCATGGTAAATGGCCTGTATTGATATAGCGCCTTCTAGAGTCCTGGAACCCCTCAAGGAGCTTTACAACACAATCAGTCATTCACCCATTCACACACTGGTGAGGATGAGCTACAATGTAGCCACAGCTGCCCTGGGGCGCACTGACAGAGGCGAGGCTGCCGAGCACTGGCACCACCGGTCCCTCTGACCACCACTAGGAGGCAACGTGGGTTAAGTGTCTTGCCCAAGGACACAACGACAGTGACAGACTGAGTGGGGCTGGAACCTGCAACCTTCCGATTATGGGGCGAGCACTTAACTCCTGTGCCACCGTCGCCCCATGGAACGACTGTCCTCTAAAATGCCTTTAATGAAACATTATTGAGAACCTACTGAGTTTTTATAATAATGGTGTTCAGTTTCTTCCTGTGACCAGTCCCATCTTCACTACAAAATTACATTTACCCCGGGTTTCCACGGGAGCCGTCAGCAGCACGTTACTGCAGCAGCACGTCTAGCTGCTGCTTGGCCCTTCCCACGAGACGCGACGCAGCAGAGGAGCAGCTGTCACCGACAGGGCACGAAGTCACACGAGTGACTTCGTCAGTAAACACAACAACAAGCAGGAGAAAACTACAACATGGCTCCAAAATGTTTGTGTTTTTATATTCTGTCCGTTTTATAATCGCCAATACGGACCTGAGAAACAAAGGAGACCGCTAGCTAGGTGATAACTTCTCACGGGGCCGCACAGTTAGTAACCTTTTTTAAAGTAAAGCGACCGGAAGGCAGTACGTTCTTTATTCTGAAAATCTCGGGAGCTTCTCTCCATTTCCGCGTCCGATTTCCTGTCTTTCCTTCCCCAAAAATGTCGAACTTGACCCGTTTCAGAGGCGTCGCGCGTAGAAAATAGAACCGGCGCGTAAAGGCCGCGACATGCTGCTCGTGAGACGCGGCCGACTCGCGCTGCTGACGGCTGCTGACGGCTCCTGTGGAAAAGGTTCTGTTGACCACAGCCGTTCCTATCAGCAGCTATGACGTGCTGCTGCAGTAACGTGCTGCTGACGGCTGCTGTGGAAAGCCGGGGTGAGATGACTCAAAATGTTTTTTTTTTGGTATTTTCACAAATGCAAAAGAAAAAAAAAACATCTGTATATATTGTTTTCTAACAGTCTGCGTGGAATCAAAGTAAGTTACCAATGTGTACATGTTGCATACAAACATACTCTCAGTGGAGCCCACCTCTGACTGGCCATCTTAGGAATTCTCTGCTCCCATCGCATCTTTTGACAAACTGTCAAAACCTGTTGCACGCTACAGCTGATACCGCAAACTGTTCCTTCAGAACAAAGCTGACACAGCTCCGACTCCCTAAGAGTCCTTCCATAGATGCAAAACAAGTCCACCTGTTTGTCGTGACCTGGAGACGACTCTGGACTGACCTGGTCATACTGCGGTTTCTCTACGGACTTCGGTACCGTGGGGTCCACGGACTCCCCGAAATCTCGGATCCAAAAGAGAGTCTCCAATAAGGGTACGTAGACTCGACAGATTGCGTCTGATGTGGTTTTATAAACCTTCAACTATAGTTTATATCAGACCAAATTCACTCCCACTCAGAACTCAGTTTCTCCAGATACGAAGGTTCTGATAACATCACACTCACACATCATCACACCTCACATTCCATCCACTTTTTCATTCATCACAAAGTGTTTCCTAGTTGTCATGTTTTTAATTGTTTAGAAAATAAATTTCTTACTTTTTATAAACTTGACTCTGTCTGAATTAATACGAAGTGTGTTACGATCCCTGAATAAACAAATAATTCTAAATCTTCTGGTTAAACATTCAAAGACCAATCAGACTGGATTTCCATGTTTATGTTGAAATTCACATCCTATTGTTCATAAGTGTAGTGTAGTATATCCATCCATCCATCCATTTTCTGAACCCGCTTGTCCAAACAATTATGCACACACACACACACGCACCTAGGGACAATTTAGACAGACCAATTAACCTAACAGTCAGGTTTGGATAATAGATTACCAGGCTTCTGAAGGACTTGAGGACCTAATGAAGTGGTGATTCAAGTATTGAATCCTATGTGCTGGAGCAGGGAAATAGCTAGAGCATTTAGTGCAGATTTAACGGAAACTCAAATCGTTCATTAAGGGCAGAAAACCAACATAACTGAAGATGGTGACACCATAAATAACAGATGTTATCGATGCAAGAGTTGGGTTCCATTTTACGATCGAGCCTTCTGTTCCCTCTGCTAAATATACACTGCTGAGTAATGCTGTGTGAGTTCAAAAACATAAGAAACCACAACTCAAATATTATGCAGTGAGCTGACACCCCAAGTGGAGCTCAGCCTGATGGAGGGATTACCTCATTTGAATGGCAGTCAAGTTAAATAAAAGACCCCAATTCTCATTTTCCTTAAATGAATAACCAGTGTGAGACTGAATAAGTGCTGTGTTGTTCAAACTGTCTTCTGTCAATAGTTCAGTGTTGTGACTAAAGGAAACACATGAAACACTAACCCTAACCCATGGAAAAAGGAGATTTAAGCATACACACACAGTATGGAGGGACAACTTTATATATTATTTGTTTTCCAGATGCAGAACAAATGCTTTAAAAGCTTATTAAAACAGTTTGTTTATAAAAGTCAAAATTTACTTTTTATGCCTAAAAATAGTTAAAACAATAACAAACTGGATTGAGGCAATCATATTAATGCATGGACTTGTATTAATAGTTTTTTTTTCTTCTTTGCCTCTGTCAGTGCACCCCAGGGCAGCTGTGGCTACATCGTAGCTCACCACCATCAGTGTGTGAATGTGTGTGTGAATAGATGAATGATACACCTAGTGTTAAGCGCTTTGCAGTCCTTACTGTGAGAGGCGCTATACAAGTGCAGGTCATTTATCATTTACAAAAGAAAACAGCGGAATAAAGTTATTCATGGTGATGAGTCCACGTTTCATTTAGGCCCAGATTAAAGGTGTGGTCCACTCTGTAAATCAGTACACCTGCAGTGGTCTCTAGAAGGAATGAATGCCTTGTATGTCATTCTCTGGGAAAAAAAAGCTCCGGTGCACCTGTTTCAGGAACTAGAAGATTGCCAGATATGAGGAGAGCTTCAGATGATAGGATTTGAAGTTGTACTTCCTGATATATGAACATCTCTCCTCTGATTGGCTAACAGCAACACAACTCTACCACTGACTCTGTTCTGCAACATTGATGTTTTACCTCCACAAATACCACAAGCCTGGAGGAGTTCTGCTGTGTGGTGGAGTTGCTAATGCTAATGGTTAGCTTCTACTAGCCAAGAAGTTCTCTGCTGTTTCCTGGATGTTAAACCAGCAACGGCCTTCCTCGTTGTGAGTCATGGGTGAGTCCTGGGTGAGTCCATGACTGTTAGTGACAGTGTGATGTAGATCTGTCAGGATGTTCAAATCTTAGAGTTTCACCATCTATTTTCTATCAGAAGCTATTGCAGGAGGTAGGTGTAGGAGACTATCTTCATGTTCAGCCTGCATAATAAAATCAGAGTGACCTGTGATAATCAGAAATTAGATTTTTCAGTGAACTACACCTTTTTCTCAAACACGGTCAAATGGTTTTGGAGAAAATGTCCAGAAAAGAAAACATGTCATCAACTTTAGGTCCAGACTAAATACTTAGTTTGCTTGAAGGCTCTTGAAACTCTTACTTTGGTTAATTCACACCAAGAGAGTTTGATGAAACTTTGCTTGCCAGCTATAGGGCTTGATGGTTGGGTGTTGGGAACCATTATGGTCGAATCTGTGGCTGAGGTTTGTCCAAACTGGATGAATCAGCAAAAATGTCTGGTCAGCTTTAATTCTGCGCAAGGTCTGTGGTTTGAACCAAAACTATTTCAACTTCATGGACTTCAACCCTCCTTTAAGAGTTTGGTGCTTTTGTCAAGGTTAGACGTTGAGGTGATGATTCCCCTTCTCCAGCCCTGGCTTGTGTTTTCACCACAAAAACAAACACCTCCTCTTCCCGCCCTGACACCAAATCCTCACACACACAGTGAACCAGGAATCTGTCTGTGGCACACGGTTTAGGAAACGTCTGACAGTCTGGGTCCACAAAGATTAGCGGAAACGTATGCAGAGCTCAATCAGTCTCACCTCCCCAGTGCTGTTAATTCC